TTGCTGCAAGTACCTCAGAGAGAAAGCTGCCCTCGAGTTCTGACTGATGCCAGACAGTCCCGCTTCTCCCGTTTGAGTCTGGGTCCTCAGAGACTCACCCGGAGCTGTAGCTCAGTGCCTGAGACTCCCTCCCAATTGAAAATGACAACTGTGCCCTCAGCTACCAGTCCGCTCCGTGTGCGCCTCTGTACCTACCTTTGTATTTTCTGCACTGCACCTCCTCTGAGTCTCGGTATGCTGTTCTCTTTCCTTCTAGTTGAAGATTTCCCCCTCAGCCAGCTTTCCTGTGGTTCTGGGTGATGCCCATTCCGTCTTTTAGTCGTATTTTTGAAGTGGTTGTGCGAGGCAGCATTCTCAGGTGTTTACCTATGCCGCCATCTTGGTTCTCCTCGAAATCTATTTCTTACATACTTGCAATGATGAGGATTTTATCTAATTAGATATATAATTTAAATTCTGAATATCTTAAAACACTACTAATAATTAAGTTTGATGAACCTAGTTCTATGAGAAAATACTGATATAAGATGAGGAGTAAAGATGGCAGTGAGGGCTTAACTATTTTTCAGGAATACACCATAGGATTTCTAGGTGCTAGTGAGTGGTTTTCTGTGCCATTAGGATAGGCTATGAAAATGGGTTTAATAGACAGTAGTGTGATTTAGTTTAGATAGGACAAAATTTCTCATTCTAAAATATTCTGTATACTGTCACACTGAAGCGTTTCTCTAGTTAGAAGAAAGCTAGCCTACTTTCTACAAAGTTCTAGATTCATAGGTGCTTTATAAACTTGTCAAGTGTCAGTGGAACTTGAATTACATGAGTTTATGGGCTCTTCTGGCCTTAAGATTTGTAAGCCTCAGAGCAATAACTAAGTGATTAATGACATACCTGAGGTGTATTTTTCACTTTGTATAGCATAATAGAATTTTTAAAAATTATGTTTGTAGACCTTATCAGGATCATTGCATTGACAGATACTCTTGTTTAATCTACCACTGTGTGTGAATGCACAATAGTAATAGATTTCAGTAGATAATTTATCCAAAAGATTGTCATTCATGTTTTTGGATTTAAATTGTCTGGCTTGCCCAGCAGGCATGGCTCAGTGGTTGAGCTTCGACCTATGAACCAAGAGGTCACAGTTTGATTCCCTGGTCAGGGCACATGCCCGGGTTGCAGGCTGATCCCCAGTACGGGGCATGCAGGAGGCAGCCGATCAGTGATTCTCTCTCATCATTGATGTTTCTCTCTCTCTCTCTCTCTCTCTCTCTCTCTCTTTCTCTCTCTCCTTTCCTCTCTGCAATCAATAAATATATATATATATATTTTTAAATTATTTGTCTTGTGCCTATATACACAGCAGCAGTATTTTGGCCAGGCTTATTAATATTGAACCATTTTAGCTTTAGAAATAATTTAGATGATTTTATAATTCATTTTCTAGATGGAATAGGAATAAATCCTGCACAGACTGCTGGTAAGTATCTATCTGAAATTCATGGAGATGTGGGTGGAGCTATATATGTCAGTTGATTGGACTGGATAGAATTTTACCAGGATTATAGATGTTCTTTTAGGTATTATATGCCAGTCTTCACCTATGGTTCTGAATAATAATTTGTTTCATTATGTGTATTAGTTATTATGCTTTTGACTAAGGGAAACCCTGACTAATAAGCGTAAAAGATATTAACACTCATAACAAAAATTCTAAAGATAAGATTGTACTCTTACTGGAATAATGGTTTTGACCTACCTCATAAGGTAGTTGTGAGGTAATATATGTAAACTGCTTAAAAGATTGCCTTACCCATAGTGAGCATTCCATAAGTGCTATTATTTCAAAGAGGTACAGTCATTTAAATTTCAGAGGGCTTAGTCCACACTCAGAGGTTCAAATATAACATTATATAGTGCTATATATTGGTGTCCTAACAAGAAAGCAGGGTCATCTTTTTTTTTTTTTAATTGATTTCAGAGAGGAAAGGAGAGGGAGAGAGAAACATCAATGATGAGAGAATCATTGATCAGCTGCCTTGTGCATGCCCCCCCAAATCAGGGATCGAGTACACAACCCAGGCATGTGCCCTTAACCGGAATCAAACCTGGGACCCCTCAGTCCACACGTCGATGCTCTATCCTCTGAGCCAAACTGGCTAGGGCAAGCAGGGTCATCTTCACCTTTTTAACAGGCAGTTTTATATATTTTTTAAATGTACCTTTTTTAAAGTTAAGCATGCATTAATATAACGAACCTCAATCTTGAGTAGTATTTATCTTTAAATTATATTCTAAAGTACTTCTGTCTTATGACAAAATTACATTGTTCTCGTAGATCTTGGGGTTGAAATTTGGCCATATAGAAAATGAAGAGGGATTTAAAATTGTAATTTTTTAAAATTTAAATCAGTCGTTTTAGGTATATTATAAATTTTATTAAATTGAAAAGGTTATTAATTGAAAATCATGAAGCATTTTATAGCATAAATGCCTTTAAATTTAGGTTTAAAGGTTTTGTTTTCTTATTCTAGAAATGTTCAATTTACATTAATTTGAATTATCGCTTATTGTAATACGTTACCAGTTGTATTCCCTTAAATGTTGAAAGGTGTACTTTATGGGACACAAAGTAAATCTCATCATTTAATTGAACCAAAATAGGTCAGGGTTTCCAAACTTTTTTCACTTGTGGTAATTTAGATTCATTATTTTTGCTGTCTTTAGGTATTTTATTGTGTACTAAAGCAAGTATTGATGGTTAAACTGATTTACTTTATGATTTGCTGAGTGTATTAGTTAGCATTTTTATGGCTAATGTTCATATTTAAAATTTTCAGACATATGATTAGGTTGTAAAGATGTGAGTGGAATAGCAACAAGGCTTTAAAAGCATGGAATTAGTTTCTGATGATGTTTGTGTTTTTGTACCTACTTACTTTACAGTGCTTTATTGTTGTTTTTTTACAATGCTTTGTTTATTGTATATAATAATTGTTGGAATGTTATGATAACCTGTTTTTTAAACACCTAACTTTATGTTTTGTTTGTTTGTGTAGGAAATGTTTTCCTAAAGCATGGTTCAGAACTGCGAATTATTCCTAGAGATCGTGTTGGAAGTTGTTAATATCCTCTACTTAAAGATAGAATTACCTTTCAAAATAAATATTGGGTATTGCTGTTGTAAAACTGAAATCAGGCATTTAAAATACTATGAAAACACCAATAATTGATGAAATAATGAAAGGTTACTTCCTGTCCCTTCTTGTTGTTCTCACTCTTCATGTGAAGAGAGAATGCTTATGTACTGAGGGTATCATTTTTACAGAAGATCCTAGTCTTTCATTGCTACCTCACAGCACACACAGCTGGCTCATTTGGGGTAAATGGATTACCCAACTGTGTTTTATTACTGGAGGATAATTCTGAGAACATTTGGAAAATTAAATTTGTTGAATCTTTCTATTTGTCTTTAAGGTAAAATTTTAAAAGGCTTATGGATTATACAGGGCAGGTTACTTGAAGGATCTGATTTGCAGACTCAAAAATAGTTGAGGGGAGAAGGAGAAGTGAGGAGGGAAGCGGGGGGGCAGAATAGTTGAATTCTTAATTCTCAATTATACTGTTTATGATAAAGGATATAGACATATCAATGAATACTTAAGTGTCTTAACTTTTTACATTTAGGTATTTTTTTTAGGTTTCAAGCTTCATGTGTTTATATAAATTTTAATTTAATATCAGAGAACCAAAATTCCAAAATTTGAATTTTTTGACCTAGCCCCTATGTGTAAAATTGATAGCCCTCACCAAAGAGTTTTAACTATGATCCTGCAGAATCCAATTCTTGTAATGGTAAGAATTGAAAATAAAGTAGAAGCATCCTTTGCTGAGTAATGCATTCTTTTATCAGTCTCTTTTAATACAGACTTTAAAACAGGAATTTTCAAGAAACGTCTTTCTAAGGATATTTGGAAACCGCATTCAAAAAGAGACTATTGTAAAGAAGATCTGAAGATCACAACAAAGGTCAAGAAAATGCTAATGGAAAATAATAATTAATTATACTCACTGAAGGCCCAACTTTTAAGGAAGTGTTAAGATAAATCAAGTGAATAAGAAGCCAAGAAAGGGAAGATGGGGAAGCCCAGGTAGCAAAAGACAACAGTGAAGGGGAACAGAAAGCTGTCACAAAAGACAGCTGGATAGGCAAAAGTGCAGAGGCTGTGTTGTGTTGTGTTGAGAGAACAGAAGGGGATACTAGACATTGTCATAAGTAGCAGAAGGCAATTGGAAAAAACAAATTATAGGCCTTTTCAACATACAGATTTGATAATTCCCTTTATGAGCATCTAAAGAATGATATGCATAAGGAATGTTTTTATTTGCCCTTACGGAGGAAACTAATATCCAAATCTTTAAAAATGAAATGAAGGCTCATTAGTGATTCAGAACCAGTGCTCCATTTGCTGTATTTTAGATGGTGAGCTCTCTGGAGCAGGCCTTGTGTTTGTCTTGCTCTTTCTAGACCTGGAAATGTAGTAGGCTTTCAATAAATACTTGCTGAATTATTCATAAATAAAATATCTCTAAGACCAGTTTTTATGTAAGCATATTTTAGCATCTTCCCTATTATGTGCCCTTGTTTCATTGGGAGAAAAACATTAGGAAATGTAACAGCATCAGCATCTGAAGGGTGACATTGGTAGTTAAGTTTAAGAAATTAACCAGATACTGTTTATATATCTGATAAATGAACAGTGGGATTCTGGTTTATAAAAGGGAAAAAATACTTTCTGAAGCAGAGAAGTATACTTCTGATGTTTGAGAAAGTATTTATTTTCATAAATAAAATTCAATGCTTAAATATTCCCTGCTCCTTAATATTAAGCCTTAATTAACCAGAAATTTGAGTATCCATTCCCTGAATTTCTTGTTTAATTTAGATCCCATCTTTTGTTTCTAGCACAAAGTCTGCCTGCTGTATTACATAAATAAGTTTATAATATCCTCTACTATAAAGTAATTTGTTTAATATTTTTGTTTTTGAGTTTTGAAAATTTTATTGTAAGTTCTTAAAAACATTTACTTAGACATTTTGTTATTAAATAAATATAATCAGTAAGTTCTTTGTGCAGCATGTTTTGAAGTATTTTGTTTAAATGCATTATTGGCACATAATATTTCATGAAAACACAATTTGTTATACCATAAGGCATATTTTATTTTTTTGTTTTATTAGCACAAATTTTTTAATGTATTTTTATTGATTTCAGAGAGGAAGGAAAAGGGAGAGAGAGAGAGAGAGAGCGAAACATCAATGATGAAAGAGAATCATCTATTGGCTGCATCCTGTACACCTCCTACTAGGCATCGAGGCCACAATCCAGAAATGGAAGCATGGACCCCCTGGTTCATAGGTTGACGCTCAACCACTGAGCCACACTTATTAAGCCAGTACATAAGAAATGAAGAAAAACAATAGACAAAAGTGATTAATGACCATATATTTCCAAATACCAGTCCTATGTTTGGGAGGGGTAAGGGGAGAGGTTATAGTGATTGTTTAGGCTAGTTGGTCCCAAGCCTGGGTGATTATGAGAGGCACTTAGGGAATTAAAAATACAGATTTATGGAAACCACCCCTAAAGTTCTGATTCATTAAATCTGAAATAATATACTTTTCTTTTTACAAAAAAACATCCCGGTGAGTTCTTCTGTGTAGCTGGGTAAACTTTTTTACTTTATAGGTGAACAAAATGAAGTCTAAGGAGTCAAAATAACTAGAATATGTTGTAGAATCTTGGAAAGTATACATTCCAATTTTTGGTTGTCTAGTAGGTAAGTGCAAAGATCCTACTTAACAGTCTGTTTCACTAACTGATAGTTAAGCCTCCTTTTAAAGTGCTTCAAGGCTAATACTTATTGGATATTTTGTTTATAAAAATTTTTTTTTTGAAAGAAAAGTCAATGGAAGAAACATTCCTGTTTAAGCCTCCCTCTCCTCAAATTAAGATTGAAAATATGTCTTTTACCTAAGAACCTTGAAATATTTGTGGCTTGGCAGCATTAATATACTTTAATGAAGCAATTCTAAGTTAAAAAATTTAATGTTCCCAAATCTATAAAACTGAAAATTATATACAAAAATTATATATGTACTAGAGGCCCAGTGCATGACATTCGTGCACTGGGGGGGGGGGTGGAGGCATCCCCTCAGCCTCTTGCACCCTTCCCCTCAGCCTGGCTTGCACCCTTTAGCAGTCCGGGAGCCCTCAGGGGATGTCCAACTGATGGTTTGAGTGGGCCTAAGCCATCAGTCGGACATCCTTAGCTCTGCTGCAAAGGCAGTAGTGGCTCCCACCACCGCTGCTGCGCTTGCCAGTCGTCAGCCCAGCTTGTGGCTGGATGGTCCCCCCCCACCACCCATGGGAGCACACTGACCACCAGGGAGCAGATCCTGCATTGATTATCTGCCCCCTGGTGGCCAGTGCATGTCATAGTAACGGGTCGTTCCACTATTCGGTCGATTTGCATATTACCCTTTTATTATATAGGATGTATTTGAGCATGTATATGTAGTTTATGTATGTATATAATTTATGTATATAATTCATATATGTATGAAGTTTTGTTTAGATATGAATTGTATATGTAATTCATTTAAAATAAATGTATTGAACATCTATGTGTCCAGTATTTTGATACTTTCACTTATTCTTCACAGTAATTCCACATTTTTATCCCTATTTTACAGAAGGAAAAAAAGGCTTTAAGAGATAGAGATTTGAATCTGATCCTTTGAAGTCTTTATACTGGGAGACATTTTCAGTATCATTTTTTACAACATACTAGCTCTGTATTGAATAATACATTTAAAAATATAAAAGAAATGTATAAGGCTTAAATTCACATTTCAAAGTACTGAATATATGTGCAATAATCATGAATAGTATTACTTAATACAAGGTATAAATATGATAAAATTATAAGGAATTAAGTAAAATCCAGTCAAATGAAGATAATTATGATTCTGGCCTTCCTCCATAGGGCAGAGGCTCTCAACCTGTGGGTCGCAACCCCTTTGGGGGTCAAACGACCCTTTCACAGTGGTCACATAAGACCATCAGAAAACATATAATTACATATTTTTGTGATTAATCACTATGCTTTAATTATGTTCAATTTGTAACAATGAAAATACATCCTGCATGTCAGATATTTACATTACGATTCATAACAGTAGCAAAATTACAGTTATGAAGTAAAACGAAAATAATTTTATGGTTGGGAGTCACCACAACATGAGAAACTGTATTAAAGGGTCGTGGCATTAGGAAGGTTGAGAATCACTGCCATAGGTGACATAATGGGAATAGGACTATTAGCCTATATTTATCAGCCCCATCAGACAATTTGATTTTTGATCATGTATCTTGCTGATGTAACTACAAATATTAGTCCCCCAGTAACCTGTTTTTCCAACCATACTCCCCATAAGCCCCTGTAATACAGAAATTCTAGAACTGCTCTCTGAGAGTTAATGCTGGAGATTGATAAATTATTTAAACCAGGCTATTTAAACCATTAATTGAAATAAACATTTTCCAAATGCTCAGTCTATCCAGTCTGTTATCTTCATCTTCCAAATTGCCTAAGCCAGATATTTGGAACTCATTTCTTTCCTTTCTCTAACCATAGCAAATCAATCACAAAATTATATTGATTTATTTTACAAAAATATATCTCAGCCATCTCAACTGTAATTTAAACCCTCATCTTCTGGTATGTTTCTTCTTCTGTACTGTTATAATGAGCATGGAATATGTAGTTTAACTGGTTAACATTCTACTGGATAAAAGTCTATCCTTTTCATGACGTGAGGGCCTTCATGAACTGGTCTTTGTACAGAGTCATTTGTTATCACTATTAAATTTTCCTTTCCAATTCATATGCAGCTACCCTGACCAAGAAATAGTTTCTCAATGTGCCAGGTTCTTACGCCTTCATAACTTTACTTTCTCCGCTTACCTGCCTGGGAACCTAACACTCATTCTTCAAGTTGAAAAGCCATTGGGCCTTTCCTCCTTTCAAGAAGTTGGATATTCAGCTCTCTAAGCAACAGTTGCATTTTGTACATTCCTTCATTATAGCAATCGTTAAATACAGAATCATAATGTTTATCTCTGATTTAAACTATACATTTTATAAAAGCATGAAGATCATGACTGAAGCTATTTCCAAACTTTTGCCCAAAGTAGATAGTATACTTTATAACTAAAAGACTACATAAAAGAATGAAAGATTTAAAAGTCGCAACTACATGTGACTCAAATGTAATAACTTCTTTAGCCACAATATTTGATTATCCAATATATTCATATTCCTCATCATTTCTTATAGCAGGGAATTTAATCTGTCTCAGAAATGTATTAATCACTTTTAAAATTCAAAGCATCTTATATTTTTTAACAAATATATGAATTATTAGCTACACCGTAGATTGCTAAATACTGGACATGAATTATGAATAAAATCCCTTTTCCTGGGCTCCCTAAACTGTATACATATCAAAACAGCAAAATCTACCAAAGTAATAATTATATAGTAATAATTATATAGAAGATTTACAGCACACCGTTTTTTAATGTGCTTGGTACAGTGCTAGGTACTTGACATACACTATTTAATTCTTTATCCATAAAATGTTGGTACTAACTTTTTGCTGTTAAGGAAGCCAAGATTTAGATTAATGTATCCAAAGTTATGAGATTTGCTTCTGGGTGTATATGATTACAAAGTCCACCCTGTAAATCAATACATGTTTCCCATTATTTTCATAGAATGATATTGAAAGGTCCTCAAACTTACTGAACATTTTTATGATCTCACTTTGC